GACCCAGGACGGGTGCATGGTAGGCAGCAGGCAGAAGTCGGTGGCAGTGGAATCGAAACATCAGGGCTGGCACAGGAAGAGCAGGAGACCTCAGAGAGGACCCAGAAGAGAGGCAGTGAGATCCCAGCGTGCAGCTCCTCTAACCAATCCCCCTCACCTCTCCACCCTCCAAGATAACCGAGGCGTGGATGCCACAAACTCTCCAACTGAGCAAAGTTCCCTCTAGCACAAGAATCACAGTGGGAAAAAATGCAGGAGGCTGATTCCATAAAAAGTCTGAAGGGATTAATAGCCACAAAGGAAAAAGACGATCCAGTAAAAACCAGGAGGGGGCTTCAGAACACGGGGAAACGGTGCTTAATGTGCTTCAAAATCGCTTTCTGAAAGCAACAGAAGGGGGCGCTACGGAGCCACTGCAGCTTTTAAACTCCTGGAGGCTTTTTCCCTCCCCAAACTACAGGAAATTCAATTTCACTTAAAAATGAGCGACAGGGGCTGGGAGTGTGGCCCTGTGTGACACGCCAGATTCATCCCCAGCGCCAGAAGCCCGAAGAACCAGACCAAACCCAACCCAGACCGGCAGATGATCATCATCAAACCCATACAGATAGACGCAGAAGAATTGTCTGTACAGGTGACAAAATTATGCCAGAAACATGGCAGAGCCAAACTGATTAAAAAAATAAATAAATAAGTAACCTAAAATACTGAAAATATTTAAAACTATCTTAAAAATCAAGGAATGGATAACAGATAAAAATTAAAATTAGAAAAACTGAAACAAGATGCGTGGGGAAAAGAAGGGTTTGGAAAAAAAGAGGAAGAACTTGAGAAGGAGATAAAAATAAAATAATTATAAAGGAAGTAAAAACTAACATACGTAAGAGCAAAAGGACGGATGGATACTACCATAAGTGTATTAGGAGATGGAAAGAAAGAAAAAAATACCTTAAAAGGAGATGAAGGGAGGACTTTATCTTTTAGCCGGGATGGAGTGAGAGGCATTAAATTCTCTCCCTGCTGAAACATCCGTGGAGCTGGGCAGAAGGCAGGTTACCATGGTTACCAGGTACCAGGCGATGGACCACTGGGGCTCCGGAGAAAAGGGGAGCAAGCGAGTTGCTATGTGATTTCCCTAACGTGCTATCTGGGGTGCATGGTACTATCTGAGGTCCAGGAAGGGGGCGCTGACTAGAGCTCCGTGGTATCGCTGAGCGGAAAACACAAAAATCAGAAAGCAGAGAGCCTAAATGTCAGCTGGAATCACTCAGCAGAACACAGGTTAGGAAGAACTTCACCGGAGAGGTCCGCTTCAGGCTTGGCAGAGAACTGAGGCGCGCGTGCGCGATAAACAGCCGGGCTTTACGGGAGGCTGAGATTGGACGTCACAAGTTCAAGCCCAGCATAGCAACCTAGTGCCACCCTATCTCAAAAATAATAGTGATGATGATGATAGGCTGGGGATTAAATTAATAAATAGTGGGGAATAGGGAAAGAGCAATGGAAAGTAGTAGATCAAACCATCCTCAGAGCCCCCAGGGGCTGGGCAATGTCGCGTTCTTCTCGCTGGAATGGCCACACTTCCTGACCCCGGGAGTGTTGCTACAATGGTGGGGTTAAATTCTCTCTAGAGCTCTAGGGATACTTTTGGGCCTATCCCAGCAAAACTTTTTTGGGGGGAAGGGGGATCAATCTCACCACCGCCTGCTTGCAAGGCAGGTGCTTGTGCCGCTGAGCTAAATCCCCAGCCCCTTCCCAGCAACACTTAAACACAGGTTTCAAAGGGACCCACTACCTCCAGTTCATGTAACTGTGCATCAGAACATCATCCTACACTCTGAAGGACCACGACAAAATCCAGGACGCAAAGGGCATACAATTTACAAAATCCGGCACCCAGGGGGAGGTTGGGAGGAAGCAGGAAAATACAGCCTGTAACCAGGAAGAAAATCAACCAATATAGACTAGAATAAACAGAGGTAATTAAATTAGGAGGCTAAGTGTGAAGCATCTGGAGTAAGTGTGCTCCATCCATTCTAGAGGGTAGAGGGACCAAAGAGGAAAGACACGAAAAAGACTTAAAAGGCCCAAATAGAACTTCTAGAGGTTAAACACTCGATACCCAAGATGCCAAGTCAGCAACGGGTTGGCTGATGGGAAAAACATCAACAAACTTGAAGCTATAGTAATAGCAACTGAAGCACAGAGAGAAAAAAGACAGTCTGAAAATGAGCAAATCACTGGTAAACCATAAAATGAAAAAAACAAAATACATGTAATCGGAATCTCAGAGAAAGGTGAGGCCACAGAAAAATATATGAAGAAGCTGCAGTCGCTTGTTTTATGAATTTAATGAATGGATTCACAAATTCAAGAAGCTCAGATTGTCTCAGAAAACATAAAGCAAATTACATCAAAGTACACCAGACTGACATTTCTGAAAAATAGTGATTGAAGGGGTTTAGTATTGATGAGTTATTAACTTCCAGGACAACCAGATAGAAAGAGAAAACTTTTCAGAAGAGAAAATGAAGCTGTGAAAAAAAAATGAATGAATAAATAAAAGAAAATGAAGCTGTGAATTACTGGTCCCTTCTCATCTTCAGCCAAGTCAGGAGAAACTGGGATGATATCTTCGAAGTGCTGATAGGAATCCAGCTGTCAGCCTGAAATTTAATACCCAGTGAAAAATATCTTTTTAAAATGAGGCAAAATAAAGACATTTAAAGCCAAACAAAAAATATGACAGATTTGTTGCCAAGGGGTTTGGCCCAAAACAAAACTAAAGGAAGTTTTGCAGAAGGAAAAAATGGTAACCACCCAAAGAAATGGAGACTGTGTGGGTGGATACATTGTTCTGTGTTAATTTCATAAGGTGACAGCCATTTCAAGCAAAAGCACTCATAGTGTGCTTTCAAAATATGTACAGGAATGTGTAAGATAGAGGAAAATGAAGTACCCTGCTGTAAGGATCTAGCACTGTGCATGTGCGGTGTGCTATTAGCTGAAGGCAGACTGGGATAAACTAAAAGACGTATTATCAAACCCGAGAGCAATCACTGGGAACGTGAACAATCAAAGCAGCAGCGGAAATAAAAGTAGGAGGTTTGCAGTACTCATAGTGGAAAACCAATAAACAATCGCCAAAACAGAAACAAAAGTGACAGGGTAGTGCTGGGACGGCTTGACCCCTAGGATTGCACTCTTAGGATAGCACAGATGCAGACCATGTGCCACACAGTCATCCAGGAAGATTTCTCAGGAGAAGCAGAAGCTTAGCATGACTGGAAGCACTGTGGAGTGTTTGGGAAGGAGAAGAGAAATAGGTATGCTTGGCAGGGAATACCTCTGCCCAGGTGATGGTGGGGCATGGGTACGTTAGCGCTCCAATTCTGTAGCAAATACCTGGTGTAATTCACTCCTTCGTGGACAAGGCTTATTTGGTTCGCCGTTTGTTTCAGAGATCCTAATCCACGATCTGGCAGACCTAATCCTTTGGGCCTTATTGGGGACAGCACACCCTGACGGAGCGCATAGTGAAACAAAGCTATCCACTCACAGCCACGGGTCAGAAAGAAAGACAGCAAAGCCCCGGTCTCACCCTCTCTGCCAGGGGCATGCTTCCAGTGACGCAACGATCTTTCGCTAGGCCACACCTGGTGGATCCACCATGACTCAATAGCCCCTAGGTCCAGGGAGCAAGCCTTTACACATAGGGCTCTAGGGGAACATTCTAGATGCAAAACACAGCAATAGGAAAGCACAGCACGTTTAGCTGGAGAGTAGGATTTGTGCAGAGAGTTTTGAGAGGAGACAGAGAGTTAAATGGTGTGCCGGATGGTTTCTGCAGACCTGAGTCTACAGGCAGGAGGGAAGGCTGAAGACGGGCTCTCCTAACCTCAGCCTGCACCCCAAGCAGCTACTCTGAGTATCTCTTTGTAAGTAGCTATAATCACTTTTTTGGTGTTACATTGCAAATGTCACACACTGTGGAATCAGAAAAGCCTGAGTAGAGGACTTGTTTACCCAAGTCCTCTACTCAGGGATGAATGCTTCTGGGGTTCATTACTTAAGCTGAGTCTGAGGTCTTTAAGCACAGTTAATTCCATAAATGATGAGACTGCCAGCCACTGGGTCCTTCTCCATCCACTGAATGGGAGCACATGACCCACCCCATTCCTCCTGACTGCGGGGCTGATTTAGCGATAAGCATCTGATTCAGCCTGACCAGGCTGGAGCCCCCTCAGGTGCGTGATCACAGGGCGATGCCCGTCTAGAGTTGCATTATGTGGTGGATTCTGTCAAAGCATGAACCTGATCCTAAAGTCACACTGTGTGAACCTGGCTTTTGTTGCCACAATCAAATACCCAGGACTGGGCACTTTGCAAAGAATGTCAATTTGTGTAGGTCACAGTTCTGGAGGTTTGAAGCATGACATTGGGATGTGGAAAGAAGATGCCTGTGTCCATCTTCCATGGCCTCTCTCGGTCACCTGGGAACCTCCACATCTCTACCTGACCAGAAGCTCTCCAAAGCCAGTGTTTTCCAGTGCTTTTATGGAGTGCTCATGACATGGGCACTTATGATTAAACCATAGCTCAGTGTAACCTTCAGCACTTGTCCCCTCCCTGGAGCCTGGGAGATGGCGTGAAAGTCCCATCCTTCTGCTCGTCCTTGGTCTCTCCAGCCCCATCCCGAAACTCTGAACACATTAGCACGTAAAATGACACTTATTTAGAAGAGTCCAAAGATTTTAGGAATTATGTGTCAGAAAATATGTACATAGACTGCATCCATATTCCACAACAACATTTCTTAGCCACTCTGATGAAGGAAGAAGCTGTTGTCCAGTGTCCTTTCTCCATCGCTTGCTTCCTAACAGATGATTGAAATTACCTGTGCCCAGATAACAGGCCAGCTTGCTCAGCTCCCTTGAGCAAAAGGCACCAACGCAAGCGGAAGGGGGAGGGGTCTTGGCACCGACCTGGGGAGGAGACTGACTCAGCTGGAAGGGGATGCCCTGCCCTCCCTCCTTGTCCTGCTCCTTCTTTCCCCAAACCTAGATTTCTGAGCTGCAGCAGCCACCCCACAGCCAGAAAGCCAGGCAGTGGACGGAAGGAAGACTGGAGGAGAACTTTCCAGGCTGGGGACATGGTTCAGCTACACTGCCTGGGGTATGCATCTAGAATTTTTTAATGAAAGGGAAAAAATACTCCAACAACTTTTTGTAAAAGGAGGAACTACTCTGACACTCATTGCTAGCCGCTGAGCACCCGCACTGACTGACGCAGTGACCTGGGGACACGACTCAGTGAGAGACGCCTTGCTTTCCTTTTCTGTCAACGGATGGAGTCGAAGAAAGATCACTCAAGGTCACTTCCTCCCGAATACACTGCATTTCTAAGACTCCACATGCACGCAGCAAAAGCTCCTGAGGCTCGCTGTGCTGTGTGTTCCACTTTGGGGGAAACCTGAGAGCTGGTGCACCCTTGGGCAGGAGTGGAAATGACTGCTCATAGCTGCGACATGACTCAGCAGGTGTGCCCCTGGGTGGACCCAGGGACTCACGCGCATGGAAACTTCATACATGAACATTCACTGCAGCACCGTGCTCAACAGCCCAAACGTCCGTCCTCAGGTGAGTGGGTATGTGAGGTGCTCCCCGACACCGTGGCGTGTTATTAGCACCCATAAGAAGGGTGCACACTCCAGCACGGGTGACTCTGGAAACGTTCAGCTAGGAACAAACAGGCCAGACACAAAAGACCACAGAGAGCATGATTTGTGTGAAATGTCCCAACTCGATAAATGCATAGAGGCAGAAAGATTGGTGCTTGCCAGGGGTGGGGGTGGGAGAGAGGAGAGGGGAGGAGGAGGAGGAGGGATTGCAGATAGGTTGGGGTTTCCTGCGTGTCCTGGGATTGCAGTACAGTGGTCACACAGTTCTGTGCCTGCACTAAAACACGTGGACCTGTGTTCTCTTAGGCAGAGAATTTTTACGGCTTGTGACTTACACCTCAGTTTCAAAGAAAAGGGAAAAACGAAATTGACACATTTTGAGTGAAATAGACTGCATGGAAATAAGTTTCTCCGGGGATGAGTCTGCCAGCAAGCCTTGAAAGACCCACGAGGGCTGAGAGGACAGGACAGGTCGGGAGGCAGGAAGGTTAAAGAGACCAAGGTGTGGGTGAGTCTGTTTCCAAGCGAATGAGTCAGCTTTGAGACACATTGAGAAAACCACAACCTCAAAATAGGACTTTTCTCACTCACTGGAAGGAAATCAGCATTCTAGGAGTCACTGCCAGCCTTGTCTAGGGTGCAAGTCACATCTTAACCAAGATAAGGATGTGTGAAAGGGTAGCACGGCAGCTCTCACTAGCTGCCTACTCGCTGTCACAGTAAGTACCCCAGAGGACATTTCTCCTGCAACAGTAGCCGATTGCACCAGGTGTGTGTATGTGTGGGTGTGTGTGTGTAATGTTAGAACCAGAGTGTTCAATATCATCCCCCCCCCCGCCACTAAAGACAAAAGTCTTGATCCTGTTTGAGTCACTACAAAAGCTGGGTATAGACCAAGACTCATGTTTAGATTCTCCCTTACAGCCAGGAAGTCCATCCTTCCCTTCCTCCTAATTCTCGTGTGGCTTTGTAGGTAACAGGACCTCAGCAATGTAGCCATAGAGAAAAGAGCTCTGTTTCTAAAATTGGACCTGCATAAAGGGTTTTGGAGGTCTCCAACCCTCCACTTCCTCACACAGTAAGAAGGGGGATGGATCGGCTTCTGAAGGTAACTTTTAGTTCAAATTACTATTAACCTAACATATTTCTAGTGGCAAAATGGAAAATTTAACATGGTCTTAGATGACCCCCAGGGCTGATGTAGAGGTGTCCACCAATGTGAAGCTCACGCTGGGATTTTAGTTCTTTCTCAGACTCCTAGGATGACCTCAAGGTGCCTGATCCCCCTCCCCAACCCAGACCTCTGGATCCTCCAGTGGGGTGTGTAATGTGGGTTCTGGGTTTGCCCAGAAGTGACTGTCCTCCTCTGGAAGCATCAGAGGGACAGAATGTGGGGGAGGGGGATGTTGAAAGCATAAATCACCACTGCCACCACGCAATGGCAGTGTGAAGGGGAACTAGTTTCTAGGCCCCTGAGCACATTCCTCACTGTAAACAACCTTCCTATGTGCATGCAAAGTCTGCGCTGTAACAGGGGCCACCCAGGCACGCGCTGCTCCAATCCTGCCAAAACAAGCTCTGGCAGCGCAGAGGGGCCAGCAGGCGGCTGGCTGGCACCTGTCAGTCCTCTTCTCACAAGGTAGGAGAGCGAAGCAGGGTTCTCATAAGTTAGAAGGCCCTGGCTGCAATTCCTGGCTTCCGTGAGGTCTGGCGGACCACAGGGAAGGCCCGGCCAAGGACAGTCCAGGGGACCTGGGCAGCTGCCCGATGCTCAGGGCACTTGAAACATGTTACTCTTCAGCCAGGCAGCTAGAAGCTTTGCACCAGCTTGGTGAGAATGGCACCTGCCGGGCTGTTATCAAACGCAAAAAATCGGAGCTGAGCTCACCCTTCTCACTTTAGGTCACAATTTTGTAACACGCTTGTGAGGGGCACGGGCACTCTTCTCCCGGATGGGAGCCAGGTGGCAGACTTGACTTACTTCCACCCCGCTTAGACGGATGCAGCTCACGCTTCTCTTTGGAACTATGTCCAAATATGTTTCAGCCTCTTTTAAAATGGAAATCTTTCACCTACAGTCGGCTTTTAAGTCGTACAACCAGGTAGGATAAAATAAATGACAGGGTGGATTTACAATATTTTTTTTCCTAATTTTACCTTTGTGTAAGTATTAAAAAATCTTAAACCTTGTTGTTTTGATGACCCTTTTCTTGTAGGAGTAAGGTTCTTACATTTATTACTGACATTTCACTTTTCATAATGAGAAACTGGCCCAGATTAAAAGAGAATGTTAGCATTATTTTGACAAAAACAATTTATCCCATAGAAGCATTTTAACTCAAAATCCATGGACTCTGCAGTCCTATAATTCCTAGTAGTTGGGTTCAAGTTTTAGGTTGAGGCTTGTGTTGAAATCTCAGATCACACGCCTGCACAATTAAAGGTGCAATAAACTGTGAAAATTATTGTGGCTTGCCTATTTAAATTCTCCAACAATTCTGAATTCATAATAACATAGTAACCCAAATGAGATTAGCTTAAACACAAAGTTTGTAATTATACTATAGGCAGGATTCTGGGGGCAAGTTAACGGAAAATCAACCTGTTTATAAGTCTGTATCTGTTCCTAAGTACCGGTGATTAAATTGGCTTAAAAGGCATAGTATAGATCCATTGGCAGAATCCCACTGTAGAAACTTAAAGCAGAGCTATTCTCCTGTGCACAATGATATATGCACAAAACTATCCATTGTGCCAATGTAAGAAAAAAGTATAAACAACCTTAGTGTCCACTGGCAGGGAAGTGGCTAAATAAAACAGGGCACAACTACATGATGGGTGCTGTGTATCCATGCCAGGAGGGAAGCTGTTTCTCCAAGATGCATCGCTGGGCTGGGGTACAGCCTCAGTAGAGATGTGCAAAGTGACACACAGCACTTGCCTATGTGTGCTTACACACCCACACCCTGTTTACACACACATGGCTTAGTGGAGAGCGGGGCAGAACAGCATGAGTAGATGACAAATGAGGAATAAGCTAGAAAAATTTAACATTTGTGCAGTGTATCTCTGCAAGGATGTAGGGAAGGTAACATCTGAGGAGGAAAACTGTCAAGAAACACAAGGGGGAGGGAAACACTTCAGAGATGCGTGCTGTGTGCACGTAGGAACTATTCAGAAAGTTGGAGCTGGATTTGGGGGTGCATTTGTGGAACCCCAGCACTCTGGGAGGGGAGGTGGAGGCAAGGGGACAGGAACTTAGGGAGTCATTGTCTCAAAACATTTTTTTAAAAAAAGGGGAGCAAGGATATAGCTCAATTTGAAGACCCTGTGTTTAATCCCTGCTATCAAAAAGGGGGGGGGGGCCACAAGATTTCTATACATTTAGTGTGCTGGTGAGTAGGTTGTCTTTCAACTAATTAAACATGTACTTACACGCATTGTTGATCCCCTATTCAATTTGCTAAGACTGTCACTGGTTTAACTTTCACCACACCCAGTAAGTGCAGGCTTTGCCTCACCCCCCTCCTTTTTCTAAAGGGAAGCCTTTATCACCACGTGCTGGGACAGTTAGATTTCAGCTGATAACAAAGAACCCAATCAACAGGAAAAGGTAGAGAAAGAAAAGAGGACACGATTAAGACACAAACGTTTATGTGATTTTCGCCATGACAACAGTAGTTCAGAAGTATCTCAAATGTTACATCAATGGCATCAATGTTACAAAAAGAGAAAACAAAGTGACAGGCAACAGTGAAGAGCACCGATAACCAGCGCACACACCTAAGTAGACCATGCTTGCTCCTTCTCTCTAGGGCATTTTCACAGTGAGCCCCCCACCCCCTCGGCTTTCTCCTCCGCTCTCCCTAAGCTGCTGTGCAGGTGACCTCAAGCCTCGTCCTCACCCTCCTCCTCCTCGAACTCCCCCTGTTCATCGGCTGTGGCATCCTGGTACTGCTGGTACTCGGACACCAGGTCGTTCATGTTGCTCTCGGCCTCGGTGAACTCCATCTCGTCCATGCCCTCGCCCGTGTACCAGTGCAGGAAGGCCTTGCGGCGGAACATGGCCGTGAACTGCTCCGAGATGCGCTTAAACAGCTCCTGGATGGCTGTGCTGTTGCCGATGAAGGTGGCTGACATCTTGAGGCCTCGAGGCGGGATGTCGCACACGGCCGTCTTGACGTTGTTGGGGATCCACTCCACGAAGTAGCTGCTGTTCTTGTTCTGCACGTTCAGCATCTGCTCGTCCACCTCCTTCATGGACATGCGGCCACGGAAGATAGCGGCCACCGTCAGGTAGCGGCCGTGGCGTGGGTCACACGCGGCCATCATGTTCTTGGAGTCGAACATCTGCTGGGTGAGCTCGGGCACGGTCAGGGCACGGTACTGCTGGCTGCCCCGGCTGGTGAGGGGTGCGAAGCCTGGCATGAAGAAGTGCAGGCGCGGGAAGGGCACCATGTTCACAGCCAGCTTGCGAAGGTCGGCATTCAGCTGGCCCGGGAAGCGCAGGCAGGTGGTCACCCCACTCATGGTGGCTGACACCAGGTGGTTGAGGTCGCCATAGGTGGGCGTGGTCAGCTTGAGGGTGCGGAAGCAGATGTCATACAGGGCTTCATTGTCGATGCAGTAGGTCTCATCTGTGTTCTCCACCAGCTGGTGCACGGACAGGGTGGCATTGTAGGGCTCCACCACGGTGTCTGACACCTTGGGCGAGGGCATGACGCTGAAGGTGTTCATGATGCGGTCGGGGTACTCCTCTCGGATCTTGCTGATGAGCAGGGTGCCCATGCCCGAGCCGGTGCCGCCCCCCAGCGAGTGGGTGAGCTGGAAGCCCTGGAGACAGTCACAGCTCTCTGACTCCTTCCTCACCACGTCCAGGACCGAGTCCACCAGCTCAGCACCCTCTGTGTAGTGGCCCTTGGCCCAGTTGTTCCCGGCACCACTCTGACCTGCAGAGAGAGAAAAAATTCTTAACTTGCTGTTGATTGGTTTGAATTCCTTCTCAGCTCAAACCCCTTAATAAAGCAGTCAGTGCTCAGATAAAATTATACCTGGTTGTCACCAAGCTTTTGGCTGTTAAGTGATGTGGTCATATGAGTAATTACAAGTCAGGAAGCTTGGGACACCTGGCTACTAGAAGCTGAAAGGCAACCTATGTGTTTTTTTAAGCCTATATTAAATCTCAGTTGCACACAACTGGACATTCTTCATTCTTTCCCTCAGGCAGTCACCCTTCCCCAACCTAAGCAGAAGCTCTGCATACCATCAGGGATGCCAGGTACTCACCGAACACAAAGTTGTCTGGCCTGAAAATCTGGCCGAAGGGTCCAGACCTGACTGAGTCCATCGTGCCGGGTTCCAGGTCCACCAGGATGGCCCGAGGTACATATTTATTACCTGCAGGGAACCGAGCTGCCTTAGAGCCCCAGGCAGTGAGCTCTGCGGAGAAGGGCTTGGTCTCGCCTTTCTTCTTGGAGGCAGTGATGCTGCCCCAGACAAAGAAAATCCATGGCCAGATTTTCAAAGGGCTTGCCTGGCTCTCGGGAAGGCTTTCCCGTGTGGGGGTGTCCAAAACTGGCTAGTCCACCCTGCCCTGGGACACCCCAGGGAAAAGTGGGTAGCAAAAGGAAAGGCGGAGGGGAGGTAAAGGTTGTTACCAGTGGCTTCATTGTAGTACACATTGATTCTCTCCAGCTGCAGGTCACTGTCTCCATGGTAACTGCCGGTGGGGTCGATACCGTGCTCATCACTGATCACCTCCCAGAACTGAGACAGAAAAAGCCTGTATTTAGCCCCAGGGACGCTTCGGATCATAACGAAAAGCCCCCATGCAGTTCTGATAACCCAGCATTTTGGGGACCTTCAAGGGCGGCGTGACCCCAGTCTTGAATCCTGCCAGGTCGTAAAGTGGAAACTGGGCGTCTCCCAGGCGAACAGCTGCAGGCAGTAGGCTGAGGTCGAAGGGGGTTGGGACCAGTGGAAGCCTGGGACTGCGGGCTCCAGCCCTCAGGGTCACAGCCTGCTCGCGCAGCAGCAGGCGGCGGCGCCCCCCAGGGGTCCAGCCCGCGGGGAGGGGCGGCGGGGACGTGGAGCCGGTTTAGATTCCAAGCACGTCCAGCCACAGCGAGACAATCGCTCTCCTCCCTTCCACTGCAGCGCGACTCGGGTTCAAGCCAGTAAAATCAAGTTTTTTCCCGTCCCGGTCCCTCCTTAACCCGGCCGCACAGCCTCCTGGATACCCGCGTGCCTGGTCAAGCGTCCAACAGGGAAGAAAGGGACGGAGGGGCGGCTGGGATTGCACTCGGGCTGCGGCGACAATGAGTGCGACACTCCCCCTCCCGGAGTGGCTCCGAGCCCTGCCCTCTCCCGAGCGCAGAGGACCCGGGAGGTCCGCACCCGGCGAGCCAGGCACTGCGCCGCGCCCGGGACCTCGAGGGGCGCTCTGCACAGCCCCACCCCGCGGCCGCCGCCCCCAAAGGCTCGCCCACCTTGGCGCCGATCTGGTTGCCACACTGGCCAGCTTGGATGTGCACGATCTCGCGCATGGTGCCTCGCTCGTGTCTCCCCCGGCTCGGTTCTCTGTCGGTCTGTCTGTCTTCCCCTCCACACCCACCGCGGGATCACCAGGAACGCGATCGGGAATCGACGGGCTGAGAGCGCCGGGCGCGCGGAACCGGATTTTTATGGAGAGAGGGAGGGGCGTAAGGCTCAGGCCGCGCCCTCAGCCGGAGCCCCCCCAGTCCGGGGCGCGCGAGTGCTGCCCGGCCCGGCTGACGTAATGCTCCGGGCCCAGGGACCGTCCGGTGGGCTGGACTGGGAGCCCGCGGCCAATCAGCGCGGGCGTGAGACTGCGCGCGGGGGGGGGGGCGGTGAGGAGGGGGGCGCCTGGGGGGGAGGGGTGAGCATTGTCCGGGGCTTGGGGGAGGGGCAGCCGGGTTCGGGGACAGTGGACTGGGGGACCGCAGGACGGAGGCAGCTACTGCCGCAGACTCGGGTGGGGACCGAGCTGGCGGTGGCTGGGTCGCAAGTGGGACTGGAGCAGGTGGCGAGACCCCGGGTTGGGGCGGCGCAGGTTTAAGGAGGAAGGGTGATGCCTTCGGCCCCGCCACTGGCCCGCGGCACCTGGCGTCCACCCCGCTCCTTCCGCAGCGCTGGGGCCGTCGACGCCCAACACAGAGTCCTACGACCCAGTGATGAGCCGAGCGCAACCCGCTCGGAGAGGCCCGGGGGCCAGGTCGCCGTCTGACACTGCAGCCTGGGAGCGCCACGTGCTCGCGCCTTTGTCTGCGTCTCGAGCCCCGGGTCCCTCCTTGCAGAGCCAGGGTGGGGCGACCTCAGTGTGGCCTCCGCGGGGCCAGGACACCCCAACCGATTCTCCTGACCGCGCCACCTGCGCTCGGCCTTTGTCCCCGCGAGCGATGGGTGGGCGCGGCTGCTCGCGCGTGGCCGGCGCTGCTGGCCGCGGAGGGTGGGGCCCAGGGGGCGGGGCCGTCGGCGGAACAAAGGGCTCCGGAGGCGTGGGCCACGCTCCCGGGCTCAGGGCTTAAAATCAGTCGGACGCCCCTGCTGAGGGTTCGGTCCCGCGTTCGACCCTCCTCGCCCGCGGTCCCAGACTGCGCTACGGATTGGGGGCGGGGGCGCCTCCAAACTGCAGTGCGGCGAGGAAGAGGCCACCTCGACCCCGCGCGGCCACGCGAGTGTGTGCGCAGACGCGGAGCGCTCGGACCCTCCCCCCACTATCCGGGTTCGAGGACGGAACCGAGCTCTTTGTTGTGGCGAGTGCGCGCGTGTCAGGCGACCCAGCCCACGCGTGTTGAAGGCAAGGAGGGCAAAGGGTGGCGGGAATGCGCGCCGCAGAACCCGTTCCCTAGTTGAACCTCTCTCCCCAGGACCGGCAGTTTGCGGGGTGACATGACCTCTTTTCATCCTCTGGCAAGAGAAGCCGAGTGTCCTAGGGTCCCACTGCGGCGCTGAGCTCGCAGCTGTCGAGTGAGGCCCTCCCAGAGCCATCAGCTAGCTGTCATCGCCTCCTCCCCCACCCCAAGAGGCGAAAGGGGGCGTTTAACTCAGTTCCGATGTACAAAGAGAAGCAGCGAAAACAAAAGCCCAGCCGCCCGCTGATATTTTGGGGGTCCGAGTTCCCCAGGCGGCTTTGGGTGCCAGCCTGGGGTTCGGTTAGGCGTTAAGCGAGGGATCTGCCTCTGCACCCCATTAGCGGGGTTTCAGGCCCTGACTCCCCTAATCCGGATCCTACAGATGGGCAGGCGTTGAGGGTGAGCAATTCCCAAGGTTAAAATGAGGGTGCAGACTGGACTCTGACTGCCAAGCACCCAAGGCCCGGGGGAGATCACCGTGTCCAGCTAACAGGGCTGCAGCAAGTGTCAACCTCGCGGTGGCGGCACCAGTGGGACCCAGCGACGGCCACACCCGCACTGCGAGTGTGGTGGACCCCCGAGGGGCGCCAGTGCCTCACCGTGGGACTCTGCCCTCCCCCTGGGACATGTGAGCCTGCCCCCCTTCACCTAACGGGTTCATTTCTCAGCTCCTGTGGGAGTCAGATCTGCGCTCAGCGCCCGGCGAAAACGCGTGATCCGGATTGCATAGATGAACGGAGCCCTTTCTGTCCTCTGGGGGAGAGATTTGGGATAGAAGGAGACTGGAAATCACTCGTCTAAGGGCGGACGCCGTGGAGATGCAAGCTCTTGGGCCCAAAGTCGCCTGCCTTTCAGGAGCGTTGTCCGGCGTCTTGGGAGCCATCATTCCTAACCATCCTGCGGGGATTAACAGGGTGCGCGTTTCCACCTTTCACGGGTACCCGTTTTGGTCTGAGTGTTGTTGACAACCACGTTTTCCCCTCAAGTCTTTCGGCGATGTTAAAAATCAACCTTATCCTAGGTAATTTGCAGGGGGAGGGCGGCAGTGTTCGCAGTAGGAGCCCCAGCAAATTCTTTTTGTCACGCACAATTTCTTTCAGTCTGAAACACTGTATTTCACACACGAAAATTTGGAAATGGTGCATTTCATGATCTGTTCCATGTAGTGACTTTTAAGAATACACTAACATTTTTAAATTATCCCTTCTAGAGACAGTTCTTGAATACTGCTGTGTAAAGTAAAATTCGACATTATTTTTATGCATCACTGTGACCGAGATGAGCACGAGCCACTAAATTATTAAAATCACCTTCGCTCTGGCAATTTTCAGTTTATTTTCAATGGCGGAGTCTCAGATGATTGTGCCGCTATCTCTAGCACACAAAGAATCATTGTTTTAAGGAACTGAGGGAGTCTCGAAGAAAAGGGGCTTTGTATAAATGCGCAGTAAATTTTGGAAGCCTTTTCTTAATGCCAAGACATTAAGGAAAAGGCTTGAGACATTGATTGCAATTACCAGATACTTAGCTGAAGCCTCCTCCGCCTTACACACACGCAGCCAGCCTATTCACCAGTCGAAGCACAAGCTTGCAACCCCCAACGCCTCCGCCTCGCTGCTCTGAGCTGTCAGCGGTTTCCTAGGCAACCCCCACTTTGCCCGTGAATGAAAAGCAAATAGAGCTGGCGACGGCTGTGCATCCGTCATTATTTCCTTTTTTTTTTTTTTTTTACACATTTCTTAATGCTCTGCAGTTAGGCATATTGGAAAGCAACCAATCCTAACATTTATGTGAAGAAGTCAGCTGGCCGGGGAATGGTGGCCGGGGAAGAGTCGCACATTGTTCCTGTGGGAGGGGTCTCAGCCTTGTTGCTCCCCCACCCCTGGTTTACACCACCACCACCACCACCACCACGCCCTCCTCCTCCTTCCCGCGGGGTGGGGACGCCACATTGCCCGCGAGCTCAAGACCGGAGGCGCTGCTCCCTGGGTGGGAGCCTGGAGGGACCCTGAGCCCGGTGCCCAAAGACTGGAATAAGCGGTGACGGTGCGGGAACACTGGCTTTCTGGGGTGCGGGCTCCTCTTTCTAGGCAGCCTCCCCTCCCCCACTGTGAGAAGCACGCGTGAGGTTCTCGGGCGGGCGGGGAGATTGGCGTCTCACCCGGCCGAGGCAGCCTGCGGGGAAAGCTGAGGCGGAAGGGAGTATTTACATGCAAGCACTCTACCGCGGGCAGCCGGTGGGGCCTTTGAACGTGAGCCCGGGGCGAAGGGGTGAGCGCGCGTGGGAAGACCCAGGGGAGCCTCGGAGAGGTTTTCAGTTGAGGCTGACACACCCGCGAGTGTAAGAATGGTGTCCACGTTAGAAACTCTTCCCCAGCCATCCGCGCGCGGCAGGCAGTGTGCAGCTCGCAGTATCTTTTCGGAGTGCACGCTAGACCTTTGCTTGCCATTTAAATAAAATTACAATGTGTACTCGCGCGCGCGCGCGCGCAGACACACACACACACACACACACACACACACACACACACACAGGCATAGGCACACACCCTGTCTCCTGGCCCCGGGGAGCACTGCTGTCCCCTATCTCCGGAAAGAGGAATGCTTTCGGTTTGAGGCACTCAGCCTGCTTGAGTGTGGCCCCCACCGTTCAGGGTAGGTTTTTAAGGAAATAATGCTTTAAGAGAACCTCTGCGAGAATACTGTCTCTTTCCAAATAGCCCAAAAGGGAAACTTAGCAAAAGGCTTAGCCTCACACAGTTCTATCCAAAAGACCCAAAAGCAGGATTTCAAAGAGCTATTTGGTGACCCAGATTCATACCTGCATTATTCACAATAGCCAAATAGCAGAAGCAATCCAGGCAACCCAGGGTGGATTCACAGATAAACAAATTGTGGTCTCTACTTATGATGAAATTTATTCAGCCTTTTAAAAAAAAGAAATTCAAGGGCTGGGGATTTAGCTCAGCAGCATAAGAATCTGCCTTGCAAGCAGACTATTGTGAGTTCAATCCCCGGTACGGATTAAAAAAAAAAAAATTCAGGTGCATGTACCACATAGATGAAATTGAGGACGTGAGAAGTGAAAACAAAAATCAGTCTCCCAAACACAAATCTCTATAGTTCTACTCACAGGGTACTAGAGGGGTCCAGTACATGGAAACAAAGTAGCACATGGTTGCCAGGGGCTGGCATTTGTGTATGGAGGACTTTCAGTTTTACACGATGGAAACAACCCTGAAGCTAGACAGAGGAGACAGTTGCACAATTCTGTGAACGCACAGATCTGAGGGTGACAGGTTCCCGGAGTCCCCTTCCTCTCCCCATACCAAATCAGCAGGTGTAGCCTTTGCATAGAGTCTGCAAACATCTCCTGTTGATTTTGTGGTCTCTAAATTACTTACAATATTGAATACAATGTAAATGCCATGGAAATGATGGATACTCTGTGTGATTTAGGGCAGGAAGTCTATCCATGTCCAGTACAGATTCTTTTTTTTTTTTTTTTTTTTTTTTGCAATGCTGCAGATGGAACCCAGGGCCTTGTACACATAAGGCAAGTGCTCTACCAATGAGCTGCTCCCTGGTTCCAGCTGCAAACAAAATGTCTTTTGAAGAATTGATCTGTGGTTAGTTGCCTTTTTGGATACGGTCCCTGTGCCAACTCTACTTAATAATATTAACCTGTGAGCACAAAAATGATCACCATAGCAAATTTTACGTTATATATTTTTACGTATTAATACAAAGTAATACATGCAAATGACATTCATCTTTATTAAGGTTTGTTTCTCAATATTTCCTAAATGTGGAA